GGCGTCCTGAAAGACCTGGATGTGGCGATCCAGGCCGGCAGCGCCACCAGAGCCGGACCAGCGTGTAGTGACGACACGCTCGAAGGCGTCAGTCACGTCGTATCGGGCTCCGAACCGATCCTCGAGGAACGGCTGGAAATCCACGAAGGTCAGAGGTCGACCCTCACGAAGGGAGTAGGCATATAAATCCTCCCAGGCCTCGAAAGGACCGCCACACAGGCGCGTGGAGAGGTGACCCACCCACGTCTCGGGTGTGGCGCCCATGAGCTGGAGTGTGTGGGTGGCAGACTGTAGCCACCGAGACACGCGTATGCCTGTACCGTCATACAAGGCAATGTCCGACAAGCGGATGAGTGGTGCGCCACTATTTTGGCGGCAAAGGGATCAAGGAGCGGAGGCATGTGCCATGACTGAGTAAGTCGACGCAGGTCCTGGAGACAGGGGCGCAGCTGACTGTGCGCCCGGGCCGCATTGGGGAGCGGCGGTGGCAACAGCGGCTGGCTGCGAGGGTGCTGCGGTAGAAGAGGTCGCAGCAACCGCGGGAGTAGGAGGGTGGGGGTGGCTGAAGGCGTAAGAGGGCGAGGTCGGCCCGGAGCTGGGCAATCTCGTCCGCGAGACCTCGAACGTAGGTCGATCGAGGGGTGGCAGGAGGAAGAGTGGAGGGGGTGGACGTACAAGCGGCGCGGGGCATCCTAGAGGGGGGAGAACCAGGTGGCGCTGCGGTCGTGCGAAGGGGAGGGAGAAGCGGGGCACCCGGAAAAGCTGAGACCATGGTAGCGGGTTGTTGTACCGTGGCCGTAGGGACCGGGATCTGGGCGGGTGCGCCCGTAGACTGAGGGGGGGCCTGGCTCGTGGCGGCCGTCGTGCTAGGGGCGTGGACAGTCACCAAGATGGCCGGGTCAGGGGCAACGGAGGAGGAGGCTCCGCCATGGCCACCCTGTCGGAGGACGGGGGACCCGGACAGGGAGCCAAAAGATGACGGACAAGCAGCGTCGTGGAGTTGCTGCATGCCGGCGGCAAGGGTCGCCACCTGCGCCTGTAAGGGTGCGAGGGTCGGGAGTTGCGCCTGGATGGGCGCAAGGAGGGAGGTGAGGAGGGTGTGTAGATCCCCCTGGGGCTGATGGCCCTGGTCCACCGGCACAGGTGTGTAGCCCGATGCCGTGGTCATCGCCGTGTCGGCGGCGTGTGACGCACCGTTGGCCATGGGGAGATGACGGACCGGACTGGAGGGGGCCGGAAGAGGTCCGCGTGAGCGGAGGGTGTAGGGGAAAGTCCGCGGTAGAAAGCGGCGAACGGCGCTAGCAAGGCTAGCACGGGCGCCGTCAAAGGGGGAGGGATGGTTCGGGTCCAGGGTGCCCGAAGAGGACGGGGAAGTAGGGGGGGGTTTAGGAACCCTAAACCCTACTAAAACCCTAAGAAAACCCTAAGCGAGGTTTAAGTGGCTAGGGTAGGGTACTGATGACCTAATCAAGAAAGTAAAATAGCAAGCATAAGGGGGGGGAGACGGGAGAAAAATAAATAAACAGCGAGATTTCGAGAGAAAATAAAAATAAATAAGAAAATAAATAAATAATAAAAATAATTAAAGAAATAAGTAAAGAGATGTGAAGGGAAACAATATTTATTTATTTTTTTTTTTGCAATTTTTGGCAGCATTTCCCTACCCTCCACGGGGTCAAGAATGTGCCAAGGGGAAGGGAGAGACCAAGGTGAGCACACTAGGTGTCAAGATGCCGCAAAGAAAAAAGAAATTTCAGAACATAAATAAAAAAATAATAGATAAAAAGATAAATTAAAATAAATAAATAAATAAAGAAGTAAAAGTGGATGAGGAGGTGGGGAGGAAGGACGTATCTAATTTGTTAAAAATTTTGGCAGCATTTCATTACCCCCATGGGGTTGAAGTGTGCCAAGAAGACTAGGTGAAAGAAAAAAAAACAGAAAATTTCGGCAGCACTTCGTTACCCCCACGAGGTCGAAATGTGTGCCGAAAGTAGTAAAGACTAACACCTAATCAGATTTAGGGTTGCCATAAAGAAAATCGAATTTTCAGACTAAATAGAAAAAGAAATAAAATAAATCAGAAAATGAGAAAAGAAGGTGGGAAAGAAGATATTTCGAATTTTTGGAAAAGAGAAAAGATAAATCGAGAGAGATATAGAAAAAAAGAAAAACCGAAAAATTCGAAGTGGGGTAAAATGGGAATGAAAAAGTGAAGGAGAAGAGAAGGAAATAGGTGGGGGAGGGAAAAAGATGAAGTGGGAGGTGGGGGGATGAGGTGGTGGTAGTTGGGGGAGAGGAGGGTTGGGGAAAGGTGGAGAGAGATCAAAAAGGAAGGAGAGAAGAAGGGAAGAAAAGGAGAGATGAAGAAAATAGAGTAAAAGAATGGGTGGTGGGAGAAAGGTGGGGTGGGGAAGATAAAAGGAGGAGAGAAAAAATGCAGTAGAAGGTGGGGGAAAGAGAAGGGGTGAAGAAGAGGAGAGAGGAGAGGTAGGGAGAGTGGGTTAGTAGAGGGAGAGGGGAGAAGGGAGTGATACCTGGCCCTAGGTGTCTCCAAGGGCACAAGGTACACCAAGACCAGGAGGGTCTTGGCCTTCACTGCAGCAAGCCAGCTGTAGGGGAAAGGGGGCTGAGATCTTGATCAACCCCTAGCAGCCACTGTTCTGCAGATGTGCAGATCTAGGGTCTGCTGTGTGAGCAGACCCTCACCACTGTAGAGCAACCCCCTAAGCAGGGGGGTCTTCTGTTCCAGCACCAGCTGCCACGTGGCAGGGCAGATGGCCACGTCCACGGCCAACAGCAGCCAACGGCG